TCCCAAAGGGCATCAAAGTAGTATTTCCACAAAAGGTCCAAATTGAAACATTAACCCTAGCTACGCGACGGTCGCCATCGCAACTTAATATTCTTGTTGCATGTTCCAGGGACTTTTTGCAATGGAAATACGCCACAGATCGTGACGAGTTTCCCGCTATCCGAGAGCAAACTTTCGGCGGAAAAAACGAAAATCGAAACATCCAGGGCAGACATCCCACGAAGGACAACCCTACGGAGGAAGCTCCACCCTTGGAGACGAGCCTCCTCCGCTGACGTCACGTTGCGCGCGCCCGTCCTCGAAATAGGTCATCCGGTTGTGACCTTCCTGAAAGGGCTCCCCAGCCAGCTTTAGACGCCACACACAGCTTCCACAAGCTCCTGCCTTCGTCATGGCTGCGAACACGTCCAACTATAAACTGAGTGCCGCCGCTGCAGGTCTGAAATACACCGGTGAGTAATATTATCCCATTTCTAAAATATTTACTCTTGTATGTATCGTTATCCGCTTCGCTGCTGGCGTGTTGTCCGAAAAGATGGCTTCCCGGTTAAAGCGTGAATGATCAATGGCTAGATTATCGATCTCAGCCACACGGGGCCAAAAAACTTGGCAAGAACGTAAGAACAATATAGTGATTCTTGTTGGATTGTTGACATTTATTATAATTGATGTCACAAACAAAAATTTTTAATGGCAAAAAGAACAAAGGACCTCGGCAGAGCAATATGTTGCGTATAAAGGTCTTTTAGCTATACCCAAATTTCGGCCTGGACCAATGGAAGTTGTTCTTGATTGTAACTCTTAGATAATATTGTTTTTTGTAGATACATCATTTATTTTGATGTTTTATTTTTTTTCAATAAATATTTTGCTTTATTTTACTTTACCCCCATTTTACCAAGCATGACGTCACCAACAATCTTCTTCATCAGAAGTAAAATTGTATTGATTGACCCCCTCCTTGCCCCTTCAACCCTTTGGCATACTGTGTCTAACGTAAATCTTTTATTTAGGCATGGCTTTTTCTTTGAAACCTTTCAGAAAACTGTTTTGCATGTCTCACTTGGCTTTAAGATAAAAAAAGCAAATACATTAAACATAATTAAGTGAACAAACAAACAGGAAATAATTATAAATTAATAAATATAAATAGACATAAATAACTTGAACATAATAAAAATAAATAAATAGGTGAAATAATACTCGAGATAATAAAGAACAATAATTAATAATAAACAAGCAAAGATATAAACAAAGAAATATAAATGAAAAGATAGAAAGACATTTGGATATTTCAAAGCATGCTGATCAATAATATCGTATTAGTTTTTCTGTAAAAAATTGCCTAATATAGTTTATTGAAAAATTTACACACTTTTTCCTAAAAAAAACGCGCACGCCACTGACAAAAATGACTTTTGTTTTACTAAAAACGATGATACCAAGGGTCATCAATAATATTCCAAAGTTGGTTGAAATCGGAGAAGTAATAACCGAGATATGGAGGGGGGCCATGAAAAGTGGGACACGCTGTATAACTAACGATTTGCTGAAAAAACTCTTTTATTCCCGTTTAAAAATAAAAGAACGCAATATTATTATTTAAAATATCATCAAATCTTTGTCAATTATTTTTTTTATTTCTAGAGTACCTAAGTACCTACTAGTACTCCTAATCAGTAGCGTACCGCAACTTTCGGGAACTCTAAGCTACGTGTTTTAACATAAATCAATTTACAAAATATGCTATTGTAAAAAATATTTAACTTTATTTATTTATTCTTTATTTATTTATTATTTTTTTCTTAGCTTAAATAATACTGTTACAAATGTATGTACAACACTCATTGTTTAATTTGAGGTTAGGGCGTCGGATATGAAATTACTTTTCAGAATTGTTTGACGACCGCATATATGAAAACTAGACATAGGGCAACTGTTTTGATCTTTGAAAAGTGGGCTATATCACCTACGTATTGAAATAGATAGCATATTATTTATACAATACGCATGTAAAATAACTTTTTTTGACTCATGAAATTTACATTCGTCAAAAAAAGGGCCACTTTAGACATTTGTTGCATAAATAACTATTTTCTATAAATTATACAATTATAAATTATTTGATGATAACTAACTATTGCGGTTTTTAGTTCACAACAAAGTGTTATACATATTATTATGGGTGGATATAACCCCGTATCTTTTATCAAAATCTTTTTTAAGTCGATCTCAACATAAGGGTGATTCTATTTGTTTATAAAAATATCACAATAGGCATTAGAACGATAAGAATATTTCATCTTCTATGTCTTAAGAGCATTTTCATTAAAAACAATGGTTTGTAATTTCAACGCACTCCAATCCTTTCCTTTATCAACGCCAGAGAATCATATCCTTTAGGAATTATTTCTGCATCGCAGCACTTCATCTTCCATTGTGAGCTTTCTTTAAAAGGCGGGATATTAAAAAGGACAATTTTTATTTCAGAATCTGGGTGGGAAAGTCAAAGTCAAACGCGTATTTAGGATTTAGCACTGGTAGGACCGCCTTAAGACATGTTTAAATTGGTCAATTTTCAAATCAATCAAAATTGGAAAGCAGTGGCGTATTCCGCGGGGGGAGATAGGGGCACTTGCCCCCTTCCCAGACAGTTGTCCATTGATAATATCATATGCCATTATTCGAGTCATGAACGACGACCAAAAATGTTTTTTTCCTACTTTAAGTACTTTGCCCCTCCCCGAAGCAAAAGACTGGATACGCCACTGTTGGATAGTATCATGCACAAAGTTGTATAGAAATTGCATAGAACTTTGATTGATTTGAATATAATGTATAATCTAAAGCCTTAAGGCAAGGGAAATCGTAAACAAGATGGATGAACGCCAAAAAATGAGATTTTAGAAACTTTAACTTGTATGTTTGGTGGTGTTGGTACCTTTGAAAATTAGGTAGGTACTTTATTTGTGACAAATACGTTGAATTCCCTACAAATAGATCTATCTAGTAATTAAAATAGTATATTTTAGGAATTATTAGTATCAAACAATAATTGAGATCACATCTGGTGCAAGTTTTGTCATTTATGGTTCGATCGGACTCCGATCGGGCTCTGGCGCAGTGTTGCCAAGTCTAGTTCGTCGCTGAATAGATAGAGTCGGCTGTGGCTATATGCAATTCTTTTATTCACAATACAGGACCATAAGGTTGTCAAAATATGACGCTTCTGGGTAAAGTAATACCTTTTGACAAACTAATAGTCCTGTAAATAAGGTTACAGGTTACAGAACAAACGCAGAATCAACCTATATGTCTTAAATAATTGTTTACGTTTTTGGCCATTACCAGAAATCTAGTAAATCTTATTAGTCAGGGAATTTTACACTTGATTGGTCCTAGTTGTTGACAAGTAAACAGACGGCAATTCATGAATGAAAGGCTCTCTCTGTTTTTTTATGTATTAGGTAAGAAAACCAAATTCAAATTGACATCGGTAGCCATTCGACATTCCAGGAATTGTTTAATCTATTACCGCTGATTTACAACGGCACACAGGTGCAATCAGGCCGCACTTTATCCCCTAATTGAGGTTTAAACAGTCTAATTAATCATTTATGCACCCCGCCGACGGCAGATGACAGGGAGAGACGATGCAGGGCTCGCATCGAATCACCCTTTTGTATAATCGGATATCCCTCAGCTTGACTGAAGCTGTGAAGTTGACTACTTTGAATCTGACCTACCGAAACTAAAGAAATTAATTAGTAGTTTTTTTATGAATGGAAATTGATTGATTAGGATCAAGTTGTTGAGTTTTTCACAATGGAGACTGCGTTCTTATTAGTTTGAATGGAAAACCCAGATAAATTTTATTTTAAACTTAAGCAGGACCTTTTCTAGAGTGCTGGAAAAAGTACATTAATTTTTTTACAAAAGAAGACTTGGTATTTATGTAACTGTACGCCGGATCCACGAACTTATAGGTCTAAGCTAAGCCCCGTTAGCGAAGCAGGCAGAATTTTTTAATCTTTCAAGGTCACGCATTCTCCTAGCACTTTAGAAATTTGATTACATTAATAAAAAAATATAGACTTTTACAAGTATTATATTTGGGATAACAACTACAATAATCGGTTACATTGCTGGTAAGTATAGTCGGCCCATAATCGTTTACGGGATTCAATATTATGACAGTCGTTGACAGGTGTTGGGCACGCCCATAATCTAGCAAAATATTATTATAACGTCTATTATCGTATCTAGACTATATAGCAAGAAAAGTCATCTATCGTTTGTTGATGCTTATTTGCTTCATTTCTTTGTAAATTTTATGGGGTGCTAGGTAGGTACGTACCCATAAACTTCTTGCTTGGGTGCAGCCTACCCTTGCAGTCGCCGTCCCTGATATACGGGTTACACAAAATAGTCTTAAAAACTATTTAAACGTAAATGAAAATGGTAAACTACCCAAGTATCTATATTAAAAATTAAAAATTAAAGTCGTTTTCGAAATCGTAAACAACTTTGTAATAATTATATATTGCCTGTATCTTATATACATCTGGTAAGATAGGCCTTACAACTCGCCCGGGTAGCTCAGTCGGTAGAGCATTGGACTTTTAATCCAAGGGTCCAGGGTTCAAGTCCCTGCTCGGGCGGCATTTTTTTTGCAAAGTCAAGTAAAAGCGTCTTTATATAAGTTTTTAAATAATGTGGTTTTAAAATTTAATCTGTTTTAAAACGCTATACCTATCTTTAATAACTCTGAAATATTATTGTGTAATAAAAAAGGAATACAATAATACAATACTAATTATTATAAATAATGTAATAGCTATTTATATATGAAAGTATTTAATAAAATGCAACATTAAGTTTGAAAAAGGTTTATACTAAAATTAAAACAAATACAATTTTGTTTAAAGTCACGTTGTACAACACCAGTACTAAAAATACGAAAAAACATTAAAAAAAGTGCCCCACCGTGACAATGTTTTCACATTGCGTGACCAGGATTCGAACCTGGGTTACTACGGCCACAACGTAGGGTCCTAACCACTAGACGATCACGGCTATCGGGGACTTAAAATTTTATTTATAGAACACGTATAATAATGAAACTCAACCACTTGAGGAAATAAGATCATTTTGTTATAGTGGTTACTACATAAATCACATCGTTACAAAAATAACAGTAAGTAATATAGAAAGTGTTTAGTCCAAACTTGGAGAAAATAAACCTTTTTTTGTATACATTGTCTACCAGCTGTTATAATAGTACTTATGTAGTTTTAGTAGCTATTTACTTTAAGTATTTAAAACTTCAGCACCAAATTATATTTAAAACTGTGCAATATCATTAAGACAGTTCACCCACCCCCTTATAAAAAAACCTATTTTTTTTAAAAAAAAAAAACACCTTTAAAAAACAATTTCAAATTAATAATTAATAAATTATTAGATTTATTGTTTTCTTTTTATTGGAAATAGACTACTTCTCATAATCTATTTTCATAAGACTGTTGTTTGTTTTTTATTTCACATACGGCTACGTTTCGCCCAATAATTATTTATTTTGGGTTTTGCGGAGCTATAAATTTTAAGAATCAATGTAGCTACAACCTACCTGGAACCTATAACACATTTTGGATCTTTCTTAACACATTACTCGCAGTAGGTAGCTTCTTATTATAATTATAGTACATGTATCACTAATTATTAGGATAGGTACACAATCATATCCAGTACCCAGTACATACTTTAACTTAAACTGCATAAAGGTCATTATATTTTTTGCTAGTTAGGCCTGTATGTAATTGCAGTGGTGTTACGCTCATACCATACGCAGTATAGGTTGGATAGATTATACCTAATTGTGAAATCACTTGTTTGGGTTGTCTTCAGACGCTTTTGCTTGGGGTGTAGTGTTAGAAGGTTAATTTTTATTTCGGGTTGTTTTTTACGACTATTACTAACCGGGGCAGTGTTAAAAATGATTACAGTAGATTGTGATAAAATATATTTGTTTTAAAATGTATGTTGTCGTTGTCTCTTTGGAGGTGGATATTTTTCTTTTACAATTTTCTTACATGGTTTTAATAGACGGTCCCGGTACAACCTCAAAGATTTTTTTTATATTTTACTATTATTTGTTAACTCCATCCGGCGGCACACTGTGTATATGTAACTCTTGTTCATTAAAAAACAAAAATGGATCGAAAACCCCGACACCCCATAGTCTAGAGTCTAGACGATATATTAACAGAGGGTGTGGGATTAAATGGAAAGCCCCAGAGTATTCTCCAGGGTCTCCCTGAAGACGCTCTTGTGGTGGATTTAGTCTTTTGCAGCCCCTCTTAATAGGCCATCAGTCAAGCGCTAAATCCTCGACCTAATCTCTAGGCTATTTTTATATTGATAAATTGATCGGTACGGAAAATAATGTCGATTAAGATGATTAAACACTCCATATAGGGGAGGACAAAAGATTGGAGCACCCAGTTTGCACCCAAAATGCATAGCATAGCAAAAAATGGTTTGGGGTGTTTTACGTCGATTATAGAACAGGCCCGAAAAAAAAATAATAAAACCTTACAGGGTATCGAACCGCAATCGACGGCCTAGGAGGTCGACACCTGTTCAGGAGGGTTTGCTGTGTCCTGTTATGTGTACCCTGGAAAGAATCTTCAAGAGGGGGATGAATTTTTGTGGCGTGCCTAAACCTTACAAATTTTATGTCCCAGCATGTTTCTATTTTTTATTCGATTTTTTTAAATTTGGGACACTTATTTTTTAATACTCATAAAGTATTTACCACAAAAATTTTGGATCCATTGCTATAATAGTTCTGGATACACGAATTTTTTAAAATTTTTTTAGTGTTCATCCGGGCGAACAGACGCGACGGACGTTTTAAAAGTTGTTTAAAATTCGATGACGAATACAATGGTATAAAAATGTTTGCTCTAGGGCGAAAATTGGCGATTTTAGTTTTTACGTATCGATTTATACTCTTCGTCAGCTACACGGGAAGAGTTCCTCTAATAATTATTAGTTTAAAGTAATTTTAAAACCCGCGACCCCAATACTTTCAACCGTACGTCCACGTTCCGCATGAAAAAGTCTCATCTGGGCTCGTGTACATAAATCAAAATCACAATAAGTAAACAGGCACGAGGTATTTCAATTACGGATCAGGGGCAGTGAATAATTTTCAATTCCCCCGCATTCCCGGCCGTTCAGATGAGCTTTCGCAATCTAGGGACAGACCGGGTAACATCTGCTCCAAAAGAGGCACAGCCTGTTTCATGACAGGGGGCGCCTTTCGCGTGTATATCCAGTGAATTGCATGTCCCACCAGCGGCGGGTTACGCATAAAAAGGAAACTTGTCTGCAGAGTTTTCGGGTGAATTCCAATAACATTATGTTTTTTTATTTACAGTAATACTACAGTAAATAGAGACATGAAAATCCCATTTACTAAAAAAGTACGTAACAGCTGAAATTTTGAGGGGGGTATCTGGATGTATGCCCTGAGTCTAAAACCGAGTTTTAGTATTTTCGTTCGAAGTAGATATCTAGTTCGATTTTCAAGTTACGAGCTGTCCAACGCAAAAAAATCTACATTTTTCTAGTTTGACAGCTCGTATCTCGAAACTGAGCATCGCTTAGGATCGCGCCTAGACTCATTCAAAATGATATCTCGTTTGATTTCCAAGTTACGAGCTGTCCAACAAAAAAAAATGTATTTTTACCGGAAAAATCTACATTTTTCCAGTTTGACAGCTCGTATCTTGGAAACCGATCATGGCCCAAGATCACGCCTAGTCTCGTTCGATTCCCCACAATTTTTTATATATGTGACTGAAATTTTAATTAGATATCTCGTTTGGTTTCCAGGTTACAAACTGTCCAATGCAAAAAAATGTATTTTTTACCGGAAAATCTATATTTTTCCAGTTTGACAGGTCGTATCTCGGAAACCAAGCATCGCCCAAGATCGCGCCTAGTCTCGTTCGATTTCCCACACATTTTTATGTATGAGAATAAAATTTTAAATGGATATCTTGTTCAGTTTCCAAGTTACGAGCTGTCCAATGCAAAACAATGGATTTTTTAGCGGAAAAATCTACATTTTTCCACTTTGACAGCTCGTATCTCGCAAACAGAGCATCGACTAAGATAACGCAAAAAGTGACCAAGTCAAAATTCATAAAAATCCGGATTAAAACTGTTTTTCTGTCGTTTAATAAACCAAGGAAAACGTTGTCCTGGTTTATTAAACGACTAGTTACTTTTTACAGACAAATTAGAGGAATTTTTACTGTTCTGGGTGACCAAATCAGGATTTTTAATAATAATAAAAAGAAATTGCATTTTTAAATACTATTAACTTTTACCTAATATTTCATCAAGTATTCCAGAAAATAAAAAATGTACAGTAATTATTTACTCTTTCTTTTTTTCGTAAAAGAGCTTTGTTTGAAATGTTTTAAAAATTTAAATTGCATTTACAAAACGTGTATATAGAAAATCCAATATGCCAAATCCTCGTCATGCCATCTATGAGAAATTCGAAGGTACGTCACTGATCCCAAACCACGGAGGGGATGCTAGGTTTAATTAAAAGTCTCCAGAGCCCTTTTTGGACGTTTATATCGGAACTATGCGCAACAATGTCCACATGCCCTCCTGGAATTTTTATACTTTCTTATACCAGGGAGTTCAAGCGTAATTCCATTGAAATGAAACAGTGTCTTGCTTGGTCGTGTGCCAGAAGATTTTTATAGCTGCCTAATAGTTTGGATAAATTTAGAAGTTCTTATTTCAAATAGAGTTGACAAAGGATATTACATTCTCTTTTTAAACACACGGAATATACTTCAATGTCACGGGCATATAACCAGTGGAGTAGTTGTTTTTCTGTGTATTGACCTTAACACACATAAACCGCCTATTAAAAATAAACATCCAGCGGTCCTGAATGCCGACGCAGGTAATCATATCTTATCATTATTAATAGTCCATTCACAGAAAAAAATCTTCACACAAGGGAGGGCTTCCGTTTACCAAGAGAGACAAGGGTAATGCCGGTAATACCACACTAAATAAACCGGGGAGGGAGGATTACCGTTGAAAAATTGCTGTGGTTCTGAACGAAATCAGTCAGAAGACTAGAACATACCCTTCGGTGCCTCACAGGGGCCGAATTTCAGTTGGACAGTTGTGCGAAGCTTGGCAGAACGTAGAAATTAAATATTGGAATATCATAAATTCAAACTTGCGTAGAAGCTGGGAATTTAAATGGAGTTCAGATAAGAATGATAAATTGATTTAGGAACTTGAATAGCGAAGAACGTTTAATAAATTATATTCTTCGGTGTGAATTCTTGTCGCTGCGTTAGGCAGAAATTTCAAAATTTGAATCAGGGTGTAAAAAAATGGTCAGGGGTAAATTACGAATCCAATCTTTTTATGGACGATTTTTTCTTAATTTCTGGCGCGAAATATAAATATATAAAGTTGTTTTCAGTAAAAATATTCACCCCAAGCATCGGTCTTGTTGATGTAGGTATTAGCAGGGGCGGCTGGTGGATTTTCAAATGTCTATATTTCGGTTATAAAAGCTGGGACCCAAATTATATTTTAAGTCATGACTATTAGGCTCATATAGAATGTTGCTTGGGCAAAATAAAGTCAGGCAACATTTGCGAAATATTTTTTTCAAAATGGCCTTTAACCCTCCAGCTATCTCCAAAACCAATCGCAAGATTTTCGTGTAATATTTTTTTTTCGTAATCAAAGGACAAATACAAGAACCCGTTTTTTTTATTTTTTCCAGAATATCAATTACTTTTTATAGTTATACACAAGTAAATTTTAAATGAATAAGGGATTTCTATTTATAAAATTTTAAAATGCTATAACTTTGAAGAAAATTAAAATTTTCTAAAAAGCAAAAAAACGGGTTCTTGTATTTGTCCTTCGATTATGAAAAAAAATACTACAAAAATCTTGCGATTGGTTTTGGAGTAACTGGAGGGTCAAAGGCCATTTTGAAAAAAATATTTCGC